TTGAACCGAGATTGGAGCAACGTGATCTTTACGAACGAAGCTTCTGTTTGGGGATATACTGCCATCCGACATTCCTGGTCGACCTTGACCAATAGATTAATACAACGGACTGTTAAACACCCTGTAAAAGTTCATCTTTGGGGCTGCTTTTCGAAACAGGGTTTTGGAGCGTTACATCTGTTTACATACAATTTAAATGCTCCGAAAACGCTTAAAATTTATGAGAAGTATTTGTTGCCGACTGCTGAACGATGCTTCATAAAAAAAACGAGGACTGGACCTTACAGGAAGACAACGACCCAAAACACCGGAGCAAGCTTTGCACCGAGTGGAAAGAGCAGTCTGGCATCGTCACACTTGATTGGCCATCGCAGTCGCCAGATGCAAATCTCATTGAAAATGTGCGGGCATATCTCAAGCACAAGCTTCGAGGAAAAAGAGTGTGCACTTTGAAGCAGCTGACACGACAAATTCGTCTCATTTGGAGGTCTTTACCGAACGAACACGCAGTCAACTTAGTGGAAAGTATGCCTCGGAGATGCCAGGCGGCAATTATCAATGCCGGTGGTGACTGGACTCATTATTAATGGTATAGCATTTCTCTTCTCATGGAGTACAACAAATCCATGTACTTAAAAATCATTAAAAATAAATTTCTCCACACATTAACTCGTACACGCTCTTACTTTACAGACTGTATGACCTCAAGAGGATTCCTCTAAGATTAAGACATTATTCTTAAAGTTAGAGGGATTATATGTTACATGTACAATGCAAATCTGATTGATTTTAATATAAATTTCCTCTTACACAGATTATTTAATCTTTTCTCAAGAGGATTACGATTTATTCTTATTGTGCTTTATTCTTACCGGTTATACTAATTAATGAAAAAATTATTATAATGTATAGCGAAAAGTAATGTGTATATATAGATGTACTTCTGGCTGCAGTTCTACAATAAGTAGGGGCGCGAATGAAATAAGATCATCATAACAAACAAATTTCCAATCAATTTTGTTATGGACTTCATATCTACAAAGATGTTCGTCCAATTAACCAATTGTATGAAACATAGTTAAAAGAAAGAATATATTATTCCACTTCTTGCAATAGATTATAAACTATATTTGACCAAATATAGGTAAATTATCTTGATTATATGTTACAGTAACACACATACACCTTTTTCGAAAGGCGTTCCAAATATTCTGACCCACGCGAGCATCATACGGTTATTTTTTCGTTCATGTCCGGAGGTGGAACATGACTGAACAAAAGAAGCCGACATTCAAATCAACACATTCCCCTTCATATAAGAGGCAAATTAATTGATGCAAGAGGAAATCCTTGAAATAAGGGGAAAACAGAATAATATTTAAACGAATGGCTTCACCTCAATCGCTTTGTCGAAAGAGGAATCCTTTCTCGGTAAAAGGCTTCGCTTAGAATATGAGACCGTAAGAAAAATCACTTTGCAAATAGAATACCTTTTTTTGGGTGCGCATTCCTACCGGATAGTGCTTTCGTTCTTCCTTCGAGGCTGGCGCGTTGCTACGTCGTGCGACTTGGATCTTGGATCTGGTAATCCCCGCGTCGGCGTGCGCCGTGTTTACCGCGGGATCGCGTGTAACAGCGGCGACGCCATTTCGAGCGGCGCGCGATTGCTAGGAGCCTCGGGGGGAATCGATCTGCTCGCGGGACAATTTCCGATCATCGTTTCGCATCGGTATCTCGCGCGAGTGCGTGACACGTCGTCGGCTGAACGCGTCCGAGAGACGGCCGCGGAAGCGACGACGGGCCCCGTACTATAGGGCCCACTGTCTAGATATCGGCAATTAGAAGCACGCGCGCGCGCGCGGCCGACAGCTGCTGCGGAACGCGCGGCGATATTTCACGCGATAAGGTAATTAAAATATTTCGTAAACACGCTTCCTCCCTGTGGCCGGCAGATGCGCGGCTTCTGATAAGGAGCGCACGGTACGCGCGCGGACGCCGCCGACGACGAGCGCCATTGTCCGCCTTGGGCGCGCTGCGAATTTCCGCGGGACGGACGAGAGTGCGGTCAAGTGGTCGAATTTACCGCGCGCGGTGCGCACACGGCAAATTGAGATTTTTCCAATTCCGCTTCCAATTACGTACAACGCACGCTCGCTCGTTCGTTTGCGCGCAAGCGCGCGCGGCGCGGCGGGCAGATGTGCCGCGCTGGAGAACGCAGCTTTGTGTTTAACGTTTTCTCGTCAGGGGCGAATGTTCGATGTCGTCGAGGCTTAAATAAATATAAGCACCGGCTGCCACCAGGCCGCCGTCGCCGCCGCCGCCGCCGCGCCGACTCTTCGCTGTTTCGTTGCGGCGAGACTAAGTTGTAGCTTCCTTAAACGAGCTGTTTATATCGCGAAAGAGAGAGAGAGAGAGAGAGAGAGAGAGAGAGAGAGAGAACATCGCGGCTGAGAGAAAACGGAAGCTCGGAGCTGAGCCGAAACTCCAGACGCCGAAATCGACGACATCAGGAACAATTCTTTTTCTTCTCGCGCGCGTTCGCTTCGATTAGGTTTCACGAAGAACGCGGAAGATGATGCTCATGGGAGAGCGTGCGTGTGACAGAGAGAGAGGGAGAGAGGGGGAGGGGGAGAGAACGACAAGTAACGAATTGATCCGATGAGGAAGAGTGAGAGGGAGGAAGAGATTTCTTGGCTCCGACGATTAATTACGCCCTCATTCCCGCCCTCTCAACGATGCATCGTCGATATTGACATTTGCCTTGCCTCCCTTTCACCCCGTCTGTCCGTCTTTCTCTTTCTCCGCTCTCGCTCTCGCTCTCGCTCTCGCTCGCCCACGAGAGGGAGAGAAAGCGGCCGCGAGGACACGAGGAAAGCGCGATCAGAAGAGGGAACGGATACGTACGTACGTGCGTACATGGATTCCTCCCGCGAGTGGCGGGAGGGGGTGGAAACGAGCGAGTGTGGGAGAAGGAAAGAGAGAAAGAGAGAGAGAGAGAGAGAGAGAGAGCAGGAGTGGGAGGGAGAGGAGGGCCCCTGCCGCCCCTGCCTCTCGAGCGTGTGCTTATCGAGTGCAACGGCGCGGCCAGCGCATTTTTCCTCGTTGTGCCTCACGAAGAGGCAGGTAGGTTGGTAGGTAAGGCAGTCAGGTCGCTAGGAATGCGCGTACAAGGGAATTAGACCATAATCGCCTACGCGCGCGCGTGAGTATGTGTCGCGCGCGCGCGCGTACAGGGGGACGTTTTCCGCCTGCCTTTGGACCTCGATGTTCACTCTCCGCGCGCGCGCGCGCTCGCTCGCTCGCGCTTCGCCCTCGCCCTCGCCCTCGCCCTCGTTCTCTCGCTCGCTCGCGCCCCTCGTCCTCGTCCTCACCCTCGCGCACCAATCTTGACCTCACCACGCACGGCAAATTAAACTGGCCCTTTGATGCGCGCGGAAAGAGTCGCGCCCGCGCGCGTGTATTAATAAGCGAGGATATTCAGCGCTCTCTCCGCGCGAAACGCGCGCCGAAGGCTCCGCGAGGGGTTCAGCGATTGCCGTTCGCTCACGTCACGCGAGGAGAATCAAATCAAATTACCCGATGATGAGAGAAAAGCATCGTCGACGACGACGACGACGACGACGCGGAGCGCTGCCGACTTTCGGTATTGAGGAATGCCGATAACGCGCGAGGCATCTTCGGATTCAATTTGAATTTAATTGGGCGTCGCGCGCCGTGAGGTCGCGAGAATGTCCGTCTTCCTGCCGACGGAGATGAGAAAAGTTCCCGGGGCTCGCTCGCTAATTGGAAATACGCCAGACTCCGTGAAATTCGACCGTAGTAAGTTATCGCCGACGCCTCAAAGTTGAAATGTCTATCTCGCGCAGGCCGTTCTTCCGTTGTCCCGCGCGCGATGTGCTTCTTCCCACAGCCTGCCGGAGATTTCTTCGGACTGACTTTGCGCTGATCGTCTCTTCAGCGCGTCATCATGTGCCGTTGTCAATCGCGCGGCTATCCGCACCTCGCGAGATGAATCAGATCAGATTTTATCTATTCCTTTCTTCTGCTCGTCGTGGAAGAGACTGGTCTCGCGCGGTTCTCCCACCCGGCACTTGCAATTGCGACGCTGATTGCTTTGACTTCGCGTCAAATAAACAATTACGTAGTACGCAGTCGTCGGTAAAGACAAGTCCTTTCCGCCTCCCTCGCGGGAGTCGCAGCGGTTACCACGCGTTCCCTCTGAATGCTATACCAAGCGTCGGTAATGAAATCTCTCCGAGGGTAATGCAGTTTCCTGCAGGCAGCCTTGACACAGAGTATAAAATATTTCTGCTGTTGAGAGAGAGCTGCTGCTACACGATACACCCAATAAGTAAGACGTGCGTTTTGTAAGGCGCATCGCGTCATTCTTCCGCGGGACTTTGCCGGCGGAAAACGGTGGTGGATAAAACAGCGACGTTACCGACGCGCGGCGACAATTTTATCGCGCGCGCACGTCGTGCGCACGGGGGTGCGCAGTTTTCGTGGAGTAGCGCGCAATGTATAACCTTCGTATCGCCGTGCGATGATCCATTACGTGCAATATCGCGCGATCTCGCGGGATTATCGGCCTCGTGCGAACACCACAAGGCCCGCGAGGATCGGCCGGGCTGAGAGTAATTTTCCTCCCAAGAATGCGTGCGAGAGGATTTTCGCAAACGCTCGGGAGAGCAGTAGCAGGAGTCGCGTCGACGAAAATGGCGGTTTATCGCGAGGCAACCGCCGCTCCTGCGGTGCTCCTGATGCGCGGATCCACGGAGCTCTACCACCCCCCGGAATAGTTTCGAGCGCCTCACCGTCCAGAATCTAATCTGACGCGTTGCGACCATGGAAGTTATACTTTTATTGCCGGTCCTATTGAACTTAACGAGGTCAATTGAGACGATACGGTTGCCTTGATTTTACGATAGCCGAACGCGATGAGCCGGCGATCTGTGCGCGCGCGAGCGCCCTTTTAACACATCGTCTTCCTTGCGTTTCAGCACCTGTACCACCTGCAGACCGGCGAGGGGGCGTTCCGGGAGCGCGGCCGAGGACGAGGCAAGGGTGCCACGAGGGTGAGTAGATGCGCTCCGGTTAACCCTACTTTCTATCGCGATTCAATTCCCAAGCCGTTAACGAATGGGAACGCCGCGAGAGGCTGCCGATGGCTCTACACTTCGTTCGTCCCTCTCTCTCTCTCTTTCTCTCTCTCTCTCTCTCTCTCTCTCTCTCTCTCTCTTTCCTTCCTCGCTTCAATATGTCCGACTTAATCGACGGGGATTCCTACTCGTTGATGCAATATGTATACGTAATCCCGCCGCGCTCTCGCGTTTGCGAATACGCGCTTCGACAATGCGTTCGCTGCTTTATAAAAAATTTCACAACGGCCGAGCGCGCTCGTTCCGCCGGCTCTGTATTGAGAAATCTCTACTTCCCCCTCCCCCCTGCCGCCGTCCCGAAAAAAGGAACAAGGAAACGAGCGCGAGAGTTGTACCGCACACGCTCGTCGTCGAGTGACGACGCGCGAAAGAGAGAGAGAGAGAGAGAGAGAGAGAGAGACCGATGGCCGGTGATTTATGGATGATTTTTGAATCGCCGGAAAAGCGCCATGCCGCGTTCTGGCGCGTCGCGTCGCGTCGCGTCGCACCGAGCCGCGTCGCGTCGCCTCTCCGTTCCGCCAATGTAGGGCCAGCTATCTCTTGGCACCGGCTGTACGGAGTTTCAGAACTGATATTAAGCAAGGTGGTATTGATCGACGCGCGTTGCGCCTGTCCGCGTTGCACCGCCATGTTTAAAATCCGCTTGCCTTAAGCCGCGTACGAACTTGAGCACGCATGCGGCTGAAACGGGCGAAACGGCCGCGCTCATACGCGAGCTCATACCTACTTCGCAGTACTTGCTGCCGCTGATATGCGATGCGTCCGTCATTTTTCTCGCGTCCTCACCTCGCGTCCAACGAAGCCCGTCGTGTGTCCGACTTGAGTGCCGCCGGCGACTCCGTCGATCGTTGTTGACCACGCCGACGGAATTCAGCTCCCCCGAAGTGCGTAAGTAACGCGCGTCCGCCTGGAAAGTGGAAAGCCTTGGCTTTTCGAAATTTCGAGCGAAAGGCGGACCACCGTCGACTTTCGAAACGGGAAAAGAGATGCTTATTACTCGCTCCTGCGCGGAGCGGAGAAACGTCCGGTCGAGCGAGAGAATTTTCTGCCGAACGATACGGAAATTCGACTCTCCGAGTTGTCAGAATTCAGTCTCAATTGTCACACCCAAGAAAAAAGTAATTTCGGAACAAGCGGAATCATCTCTGTTGGAGGATTTTATTCTTATATATGGATGGCCTCGAGAGGATTCTCGTAGAATTAGGAGGAAAATATTATGAACACATAATTCTTAAAGTTAGAGGAATTATATATTATATGTATAATGCAAATCTTATTAATATAAATTTCCTCTTATACAGAGATTATTTAATCTTTTTTTAAAAGGATTGTTTATTCTTACTGACTGTATAGTTCCTTTATAGGGAAAGGAGAGAAAATTATTATGAAACTGCCCGGAAAAAATTCTAGTTAAATTTCTTTTGGCTTTCTGCTGAAAAAGTAGGAAAAAACATAAATTTGTAATTTTAAGTACTCTAAATGGCATTTGATGTGGTATACAACGCGATATGATAAACAGACGTATATGTATGTACTTACGCTGGAACATGGACCAGTATGTCTTTAAGTTAATTTTATCCCAAAATTCTGGAGCTTCGTTTATGACGAAACAACTGGAAAAAACAATATAAACTGAATAACGATCTCTCTTCTTTCCTCCTTTGCTCTAGATATTGTCCATAAAACAAATGCGGCGACGATCGTCATATGCACAAAGAAAGAGAGAGAGAGAGAGAGAGAGAGAGAGAGAGAGAAGAGAGTGTGTGTGTGTGTGTCTCTGTTTGATGAGTGGATGGAGTAGAGGAAAGGCGTCGACGAGCGTTCTTCTTGATATAAGAGGAAAATTATTTGATACAAGAGGAAATGCTCTTGAAGTAAGAGGAAAACAGTTAGAATAATATCTAATAAATTTCAAATGAATACTTCACTTTAATCGTTTCGTCGAGAAAGAGGAATCCTTCTCCTGCAGAAGGCTTCGCTTGGAATATAAGACTATGGGAAAAGTCACTTTACAAATAGAATATTTTCTTTTTTAGTGCGCAGGATTGCTGATTAACTCGAGCGAAATTCCGATATCTGCCAGTTTGACTCGCCGAACCGTTCGTGCTTGACGAGAAAATTCATTCACCCGACCAAACATTTCTCTCGCTCGCAGGCGCGAGCAAATCGGCCCGACGACCCATGGGGCCTTTCGTTATCTAATCTACGGACGGCGTAGATAAGATAACAGCCGACATTCCTGCGTTTCACTGGCCTGCGCTAAAATAAGATAGGGCCGCCGCGGAGCGTACGCTACGTCGACCACGAATCGCCGGGTCTTCGCTTTTCCATTTCGAGTCGCGACCACTCCGTCTCGCTTCTCTCCTGCCCGCGAAGCGGACTCCGGCAGGATTCGGGCGTGAAGTTTGCGTGCGTCGTTCGAAAATAATTTTGCCGTCCGGCAAGATCGCAGGAAGGATTCTCGCGATGGAGCGTGCACGAGTTTCTTCCGCGTCGCTCTCCATCGTGATCTCGACGAAACGAGAAAAGCCCGGCGCGGTGGCGCGAAGATCGATGAACTGAGGAAGGCTTAAGGGCATCCGTAAGACGCTTCTTCGAGGGCTCGTTTATTAACTTTAGTCTCTGCAACTTGTTGCTGAGCGCGTCGCCACCGGCCCTTCTGACCTCTTTCAGGCCGTCTCTCTGCCCGCAACGATCGCGCCGACCGGACTTTCGGGGAGGCGGTCCAACCCCGAGGTCCTCCGCGATCGAATGAATTGTGTCTTCCCCCGGAAAGTCGCGCGCACTCGTACCTCCCGAGGACCGATTGATCGATCAGGAGTCGTCGACCAGTCGTTATCCCTCGTCCAAGTCGAATTAGCGCGCGAATGGCCCGACTGTTCTCTCTCTCTCTCTCTCTCTCTCTCTCTCTCTCTCTCTCTCTCTCTCTCTCTCTCTCTCTTTTTCTCTCTGTCGACGGCAAGCATTCGCGGCCGTCTTCGGCGGCTCGATCGACTCGAGTGCGAAAAATTGTCGGGACCAAACAGCGCCCAATAACAACGGCATTACAACGGGACGATGATGCAGCGTTGAACTTGAAAGGTACGTGTCCTCGTGTTCGACGTTTGACTCGCGTTCAACGCCTTCTCCAGAGCCGTGCGCACTTTTCGTTTCTTCCGATACATAAACATTTCTCTCCGCCGGAGACAGCCAGGTATTTTCTCACCCCTCCATCAGCTCCGTTCTACCCCCTCCGTCGCATCGGCCACCTCCAGTTACAATGACGCGTTGGTGAACCATCCCCTCTTCCTGGTTGCCACCGCCGCCGCCGCCGCCGCCACTGCCGTCGTCGTCGTCGTCGTCGTCGTCGTCGTCGTCGTCGTCGTCATCGTCGTCGTCGGTGGCGGCGGCGGCGACACCACATCGACATCAGCTCCGTTGAGCTAGCACCGAGAGACGTCTACCTATCGAGAGCCGTAGCGATTCCGCGAGGAGGCTCTTGGTTTTCGTTCGCCCTTTTGCGGCCTCGCTCCGCACCGCACGCAGCCGATACTCGAAGCTATTCTTCGCGCACAATGCGACGATATCCTTTTTCTCTTGCGACGAGCGCGCGCGCGATAGTGTCAGCAGGATCCACAAAACGCAGTCGCGTTCGCGGAAACAAGATGCCGTTATTACTCGTCGAATTAGGATTATTATTATTATTAAACCCGATATTTAAATCGAGACTCCCGTCGGTCGACTTTAAAGCCACGTGAAAATTCGCGGGAATTATTTGCGTCTCTCGCGCAGCTCCGGCGAATTTAGCGCCGTGATGAAATTTCGGCGCGAATTACACTTTGGACCGAGCCAAAAGTAAATCGATAATCGAATCGACCCCGTCGTTAGTCCAATGACGCACTGTTCCTCTCTTCGTTTCTCTCTCGTCCGCTTCCCCTTCCCTCCGCCGCTCCCTCTCTGTCTCTTTCTCTCCACCTGTGTCTCTACCTCTGTCGCTCTTGGAAGAGTCAACTGAAAACGCCAGACGGAGAGAAAACGAGTAAAACGATCGAGTGAAAAACAAAGACGAGGGAGAGAAAGAGAGAGAGAGAGGGAGCGAGAGAGGAGTAGGAGGGGGGGGAGGGAAGAGAGAAAGAGAATGGAAGGACACGAAGAAGCGGGGATCGTGTAAATCGACGCGAGCATACTCGAGCGTTTCCGAGCGACGCGAAGCCGTTCTACATGGAAGAAACGTCGCGCGCGCGCTCGCGCGTGTTTCATGCCATAGACAGCTGGAACAGCTTGTTGTTTCCACCTTCGCTGGGTGTCGACAGACAGATAAATGACGAGGACGCGTCGTCGGGAGAACACGTCTGCTAACCTTCCGGCATTACGGAACATGCTAAAATATGAAATCAAGCCGTTCTCTCTCCCTCTCTCTCTTTCGAGCGCGGAAGCACGCATTGTTGCTCTCCTTCAATCAGGACACCGCGCTCGGCAGCGACGTGCCGCCGATCCTGCGGCGGCGGCTTTCGACGCGCGCGTCGCGAAGAGACGCTACGCAGGAATTCACGATACCGCGGCACGATGACGCGCGACGCGGCGAGCCTTCTCCTCCACGTCCTTCTCCTCCTTCTCCTCCTCCTCCTCCTCCTCCTCCTCCTCCTCCTCCTCCTCCTCCTCCTCCTTCTCCTTCTCCTTCTCCTTCTCCTTCTCCTCATGCACCTCTTCTTCTCCTCTGCCCCTCGCACTCGCTCCCTCCCTCCCTTCCTCCTTCTCTCCCCCCGTCCTCTCCGGCGGGGAGGATAAAGGGAGGCGAGTCGTGGGAGAGAAACAACGAGCGGCCGCCGCGCACACCCACGCATACATGCACACACACACACACACATACACGTGCGGGAGCGCGATTGCGCGCTCATGCTCTCCTCGTGAACGAGAGAGAGAGAGAGAGAGAGAGAGAGAGAGAGAGAGAGAGAGAGAGAGAGAGAGAGAGAGAGAGAGAGAGAGAGGAGAGGAGAGAGAGAGAGAGTGAGGGGGGGAAGAGGCAGCGTACAGAAAGGTGGGAACGCAGTCGGCGAACGCGAAGAGGCGCGGGAGGAGGAAGAAGAAGAGGAGGTGATGGCGGAGGAGGAGGAGGAGGAGGAGAAGGAGGAGGAAGAGGAGGCGACGAGAAAGAGAGAGAGGGGAAGGCGAACGAGAGAATGAGAGAGCGAGCGAGAGAGCAGAGAGAGAGAGAGAGAGAGAGAGAGAGAGAGAGAGAGAGAGAACGAGAGAGCGAGCGAGCGAGAGAGAGAAATGAGAAGAGAGGAGGGTGGGAGTACCGGAGGAAAAGGGAGAGACGTCTCATGGGAGTTATTCGGCGGATCGCTCCGCGGCCAGAGTGGATCTCTCGCGAGTGTCGAGAGCGATCGATTCGATCGGTTGCGGCGAATTCGAGCGCGAGTTGGTAGTAGTCGGCGCGAGCGCTCTCCGGTGGGAGGTAGTACCTCGCGCACGAGGTCGTTTCCTGGCGTGGCTGTCGGTAGACCGGAAAGAAGTCGCACGGTGCGCGGAGAATGAAACGATAGGAGACGCGTGCGTGTGTATACGCGAGTAACCCGAGTGACGAGGCACAGGTGTACACAGTGATCCGATCCGAGCCGATCGGAGATTCCGCCAGAGTGCTTCCAGGCAGGACTCGCGCGAGAGCTGTCCGGAGTGACATCCGGAGCGGTCGTTTCGCGGACTCGTCCTGCCAACGTGCTCCGTCCGCCACCGTCACGCGGCCAAGTGAGTCTTCGTCTTCGCGTGTGCGCGAGTTTCTTCAACCCCCCGCTGAGGGAAAGAGAAAACGCCAACGATGATCGCTTCGCGCGAAAATTCGCCGCGAGGTCGGCCGCCTCTCTCCAAGAGAGAGAGAGAGAGAGAGAGAGAGAGAGAGAGAGAGAGAGAGAGAGAGGGAGAGAGAGAGAGAGAGAGAGAGCCAGATTATGGCACGTGTTTGGATTTAACGCGCTCGCCAATGGTCCGCGTTCCCGCTCTTCGAGCCGGCCGGTAAATCAAACCGGGCGAATCTCGCGTCCGCCGCGCTGCTGCTCGCTGCTCGTCGCGCGCGTCTTCTGCCTTCTTCGGTGAGGAGCGACGAGCTCTCCCCCGGCGTCCTCGAACGGCCGGTCTCGCCTCGATCGTGATCGTCGACGATGATTCACCCTCGAAACACTCACAGATGGGTCACTCGTGCAGCATACGACGCGGCGCGATATCAGCTACGCTTAGCTGCGACAGCTTAGAAAACGCTCTCGTCGCTCGATAAACTCGCACGAGTGTTCACGACGTGTCCGTTTCTTTTTCTCTTCCCCTCTCTCCCCCCCCTATCTCTCTCTCTGTCTCTCTCTGTCTCTCTCTGTCTCGCTCGCCGAAGCTTCCAATCGCGTGCGTTCGCACGCGCGAGTCGCGCGAGGCCTCAGCCTCGCTCGAGATCGATCGAGACACGCGATTCGCTCGGTTTCGCGCGCGAGCCGCCGCGCCGGCGACGCGGATACGCAACGCTCGATTCTTACGATTAACGAAACGCGTGCGGGACGTGGTGGTTACGGTGTACGACTTGATTATATAAGGCAACACGCTCGCGAGTCCGCCGGGGCGAGTCGAGGCCCTCGCGCGCGCGTCGAGGATCGGAACGCGCCACGTTCCGACTTGACAAACCGCCGCGCGCGCTGCTCCACGCGCGCGCCGCTGTTACGCAACGCGGCGTTCGTCTATCGTGATCGCGGAATTTAGGTCAAACGACGTGTCCTTCGCGCTATCGGCCGGCCCACGTCGAAACTAATCGCTCTTGTTATTAACTTTTTAGCTGTCGCAGCGGAGCGCGCGCGCGCAACTCAGCGGATTCGAGTGATCCGATGACGTTGTCCTTAATCCTTGATCCAAGCGTCACGAGCAGGTTGGAGGTTCAGGTCGAGTCCTGAAGGCTCGGTTGAACGATCGAGCGAATTAATAAGCAATCACTCGACGTATGAATAAATCACTCGGTCGGAGTCCGCCGACGGCTGCGCGAAAAATCAGCGGTCTTGCGTGCGAAACAGCAAGTTCGTTCTTCCTCTCTTTCCTCCTCGATCGATAGTACTTATGACATCAGCGCTTAGCGCTCGCCGGCATTAACGGTAATTTGCGTGAAATCGTCATATCCAAAGTACAAGGTATATAACGCAAGAACAAGTTGTTGGCGCGCGCGAGCGTCGACGTGGGAAAAAAGACACGTGAATCGCGAGCTGGTCGAGCTAGCTCGCACCTAGTTAGAGACAGCTACAACAACCCTGTCGTCGTCGTCGTCGTCGTTGTCGTCGACGACATGCCACGCACGTCGGCGGAGCGCGCGACTATCGGCGAGTATCTACTTATACTTATACTTTCGTTTGACTTGAGTCAACAAAATGTGAATCACCGAGCGCGCGCGCGCGCGCGCGTGCGCGAGTGGAATGGCCGCCGGTTGACGCTGAAATCGGTTTACTGGCGGTCGGTCAATGCCCACGCGCCAGCCACGTGCTGCTCGTGAAGGTTTCCGGAGGTCGAGGGGCGCCGGAAGAGGGTGAAGACACGGATTCGGAGCGTAAGATTCCGCGTTAACCCCGGCCGGATCGCGGATCGTCCTCGCCGGCGAGGATATCTCGTTGGCCCGACGACTTCGGAAACTATTGATTTCCCTTCGATTCCTCGCGGCGTTCCTCGCTCCAATTGAATCGCGTCGCGCGCGCGCGGCGGGGCCGATAATTCGTCGGATAATTCTTCCGCGCGTTTCCCTCCGGATTCGGGAAATTTCCTCGCGAGCGAGACGACGGCTTGCCGTGTACGATTGGCCGCTCGCCCGCTCTCGCCTTCGCGCGGGGAGGTCTAAAATAAGTAAACGACGACGACGACGGCGGCGACGGCGCGCGGCCGGCACCAGCTGTTCGTTCGAGCCCACCTCTCGAAAAGGTCAGCCGTCTTGCGTTACGTTTCCCGATCGATCGATGATTGACGTACGAAAGGATCCGTCATCTTCGGCGGACGTGAGTCTATTGATAGATCGCGATCGATCCCGACGCGCGTGGCTGACGAATAAAAGAGAGCTCCGCTCTCTTTCTCCGTGAAAACTCGCGGAGAGAGAGAGAGAGAGAGAGAGAGACTCGCCTCGCTTCCCTTTTTCTTTCTCCAAAAACACGGACCCGCCTGATAATGTAAACTCGGCCGAGGGAAATTGGGATTAGGCCGATCGTAACACGCGCGACTTGGCGATCTCGGCCTCGGAGGAGGCCTCGCGAGCGGCCGCGACTCGCTCGTCGTTTTTCTCGTCGAGCAACGACACGACGCTCCGCGTGGATTTCCGAATGTTCAGCCGTGCGTCTCTTTTTCTCAGCGGGTGAGGAGACGCTCGCGAGGAGAGAAAGAAAGTCTCCTCTTTCTCTCTGTCTCTCTCTCTCTCTCTCTCTCTCTCTCTCCTCTCTCTCTCTCTCTCTCTTCCTCTCAGCGTTGGTCCCTGACGACGACGATGACGGCAGCGTCGTCGTTCCGTTTCTATTTATAAATCGATAGGCGATATAACGCGCGTGCACGATCCCGCGCGCGATAGGCGAAGCGAAAACGTAGGCGAGAGATCTCGCGACGTCTCGTCGACGACGACGACGACGACGACGACGACGACGTTGACGTGGTAATTGATGAAATTCGCGAGGAGAAGAGATACACTCGTCAAGGGGCATAAGACGCGAACGAGAGCGAATAGCCTGCAGCCTGTCGTCGCTTGACGACGCTTGTTGAACTATGGAAACCGTTTCAGCCGCCTCGGCCTACTTAAGCGGTGTCGTTATTTTTAGCATTAGGGTCACACCGCGCGCTGTGTTGGCTCTCTCGTAGTACCCATCTTTTCTTCCTACGATACGAGCCGACTTAACTTTCTCGACCCTTCGCCGCGAACACGCGCGCCGCGCGGCGCGCGTTACGTCGTCGCTCTCCCGTTGTCCTCTCCGATCGCCCGACGACAATCTCCTCGTTCGTTCTGAGACGAGCTTACGGCTCGTAAATATTTATATCGCCGCCATTTGCTCGCCGCGGAACGGACAAATCTACATTTTTAAGCGCGCGCCGTAGCGCGCACGCTTTCGCCCCTCGGCCTCGACGAGTCCTCTCTCTCTCTCTCTCTCTCTTTCTCTCTCTCTCTCGCGTGCGAGACTTTCCTGCTTCGCCGAGAGGTCCGCCGTTTTTTGCGAAGATGCGGCCGAGTCCAAGGGTAGTTACGAATAAATAATGTTTGTCGCAGAGTTACCGGAAGATCGCACGGCAAGTCAGCACGCCCGACAGCGCGCCAGCTGGTCTTGGCAGCCCACAGGCTGGCATCGGCGGCCTGCAGCAACAACACCAGCAACAAACGCAACAATCTCTGCACCAGCCCGATCCCATGCAGCAGACTAAGGACAATCTCAACTCGGCGGCGAACCAACAGACGGGCGCCTTGAGAAACGGAAACCCACCACCACCTGTCGTCTCTATGGTGAGTTTCGCGCTTTCCATTAAATCGTTCAATTTTACCCTCGCCTTCGACTCGCAGCCGGACAAAGGAACCTCCGCCCCCTCAGAGGGGCGAGTGTCGCGAAGGGGCTGTCTCGCCGTTTCTCATTTTTTTCTTCTCCTTCTTCTTCTTCTTCTTCTTCCGTGTGTTGCCTATTTCCGCGCGACCCCAGCGACTTGACATTTTCATCTCGAGTGATCAATCATTTCGGACGTTGCGAGAGACGCCCGAAGAGGAGACGTGCCTCGCGCGCGTTTACGAAGCCGAAGGCGCGCGCGCGCGCGCGCGCTCGAAAGTCCACTCGGAGTGCCAAGAGACGCTCGCGCTGCGGCAGAGCCGCGTGTAAGGGCGCAATTTTGACAGTCGCGGAGGGAACGCTCCCGACGGCCCGCTCCTGCGAAGGAATCGGCTGCCGAAATAGCGGCGTAACATGGAGGGCAAGGGTAGACTACCGGCAGACAGTGAGTGCGGGGGCGGTGACCGGCCGCCAACGCGAATCAATACCCGCAGGAACAGGAACCACCGACCTACCGAGAGAGAGACGAAGAGAGAGAAAGCGAGAGGGGGAGAGAGAGGGGGGAGCGAGGGAGAGAGAGAGAGAGAGAGAGACGCGTCCCGGGGACGAAAGGAGAGAAAGAGAGAAGCGATGAAAAGCGAGCGGTATCAAGAGGTGGAGCAGGAGTAACGATAGGAGAAGAGCCGGCGAGGGTAGCCGCTCGCGCGAGCGCGCGCGCGCGCGCGCGGGCGGGGGTGGCGCGTGTTAGGGGTGCATCTCTCTCTTGTCACTCGCGTGTGCGCGCACGGATGTCTTCTTCTTCTTCTTCTTCTGCTTCCTGAAAAACGCGTGTCTCGTCGAATTTCGACGGCAATCTCACGCGCCTCCTTCTCGCGATTCACGCTCATTCGTTCTCTTCTCTCCCCCTTCTTTCCCCGCCGTGTACACGTACGTACGTGTGTGCGTGCGGCGAGAAGCACGCGAGCGCGGGCGACTGCTTGAAATAATCGCAGGCGCCGAAATGCGCGTCGGCGGCGGCGACGGCGGCGACGGTGGACGTCGATATATTACTCGAATGAATTCCCGCTTCAACGGCTGTGCATGCACGCGCCAAGCGTGAAATCCTCTCGCGCGTGTGTATTCTTTAATGAAATAAACGAATCGATACCGGGGCGGGGGAGAAGGACAGCAGAGCTCGCGTCGCGCGTTGCGATGTAAATTCGTAACCTTGCGACTGGAATGCGTTTTATAATATCCGCTTTATTCCAGCGGGATTTTCTCTCTCTCTCTTTTTCCCTCCCCCCCTCTCTCTCTCTCTCTCTCTCTCTCTCTCTCTCTCTCTCTTTCCGTTTCGCACTGACGTGCTCGGCTGACACCGGGGAGCTGAACTCGTCGGCCGGCCGCGCCGCGCCGCGCCGACGTGGAAAAATCACTTTCTATCACCGGCGAAGAAATCGCGCCGCGCTAAAATCGCGAGAGACGCTCGCCCGCGCGCCGCGCGCGTCTGCGAGGTTGAACGTCCAGCCGAATCGAACGATCGGCGAGTGTTATCGGCTTATGTAAATTCGAGTCGCGATCGCGTTGCGGATAAATCAAACGCGAGCGCGCTAATCGCGGAGAGGCCACGCGCGCCCATTCGATTAGACGACGTATGTTATCGCGATTGGCGAGAGCGATATCGCTTCCGGCACCGCGGCCGTGCGCGCGCGCGCGCGCGCGGCCAACTTATGCGCTCTCGTTTACACACTCCCGTGACAAATAATATACACGACGACCGGCGAAAATGCAATGACGTTTGCGTCGGCTCTCTCCTCCCCTGGCCCGCGCGCGCGCGGCGGCGGCGGCGGCGGCGGCGGCGGCGGCGGCGGGGTAGCGGTGACGGTGGCGGTGGCGGTGGCGGTGGTGGCGGTGGTGGTCGTCTCGCGTACGTTAAACGTACGGTATTCCCATTGATAACCGTGCCCGGGCGTTAATTGTGCATTTCGCGCGTTAAACGCGCGTACGCGCACGTACGCGCAAACACGTACGCTCAGGTATCGCGTTCGCCGCGATAATTGCTAATGCCGCGGTGATAAAGGAATCAACGTTATACCGGGCGTATTCATCGGAACGCCCAATTATGCAATAAGCCGAAACCGCGAAATGCTCACGCCGCTCGATCGTTGTTGCCGGTACACGCAAATTGCGAGTCGCGAATCCCACCGCGCGCGCGCGACGTATATGCGGTTTATCGTCGCGCGATTACCCGCCTGAAAAGAGACCGAGAGAAGAGGTGGGGAGGGGGGGTGGAGAAGGAGAGAGAAAAAAGCGAGAGACAGGGTGAGGGAGAGAGAGAGAGAGAGAGAGAGGAGGACGTAGTAGGACATATGCGAATGCAATTTCGCACGCTGAGAATCTCGACAGCTCGGTCTTGTAGAGCGACGTGCGAGGGTCTTACATCGCGTTACACACCGCAAACGACGTCGACGCGGCGGCGGTTTAGCGCGGCGCAAGGACGAAAGCGGGAGTAGGTGAAAAGTGGTCGAGGTCGGCAAACTCTCCCGGGGGTATTCGCCGGAAGGGCAACTCTGGCTCCCGAGGGTTATGTTTGGGTGCTGTCACAGAACGTCCCGTTTTATCACGCCAGGGTCTTAGGTTGCCCTAGGTCACGATGCCACGAGAACGGAAGGATTTTCTCTCCCCGAGGGAGCGGCAGTGGCGGCGGCGGCGCGGCAGCGGCGGTGGCGGCGGCGACAACGGCGGCCGCCGCCGACTCGCGCACGAGTGTGCGTGGCAAAGTGGTGGAAGAGGAGGATGATACCGTGGAGGAATCTCTGCCTCGCTTGGCGAGACGCCCAGGTCTTCGACGCTATCAACCTCGACCACAAACACCGATTCACGGCCACCGCGTGAGGGTTCTTCGCGCGCGAGCGGCACAAAGCGAGAGAGAGAGAGAGAGAGAGAAAGAGAGAGAGAGAGAGAGGGAGAGAGAGAGAGAGAGAGAGAGAGAGAGAGAGAGAGAGAGAGAGAGAGAGAGAGAGAGAGAGAGAGACAGTTTCCACGCGTCGTCAAGAGCGGACTCTCGTCGTTCGAGATCGACGATTCAACGCGGCACGAGTTTGAATTTGTTTCAAGAGAATTCAAGAGAAAGAGAGGAGGGAGGTGGAGGTACGAGAGTCCTCCGCGCGCGCGATTAATCATCGTCACCTGGTTATAAAACTCGACCGCGCCTCTTTTGTTGGCTCGTTCCTTGCCGTCCTGTCGCGTTGCCGTGAACGCGAGCGAAACCCGAGCGATTCAGCCGTCGACGCTCGGCAGGACGCGGCGCGCGACTTTTAGCGAACGCGAAAGCGCCAAAGGCCCGCGCTTTCTACGAGTTCTTTCTCTCTCTCTCTCTCTCTCTCTCTCTCATTGCCATGAATTAAATAAAGCAAATAAACAGAGTAAAAACGCGGATAGCCATCCGACCCGCGCGCGTGGCCGTGTCGTTCTTGTTCCTCTTGTTTTCTGGCTCGAGAGAGGTGCTCGCTCGTTCACGCGCGCGCGCGCGCGCGCCTGCATTTTGAGGGCAACCGCCGCGAAAGTGGATGACAAAGGTCGGCGGCGGTAAGCGGATGAACGGAACCAATCGTCCTGACTCTCTCTCTCGTTTCTCTCGTTTTGTACAAAGTTTTACAGTCTGGCTGCGAGGTTGCCGGCTCTCTCTCCTTCGCCTCGCATCGCTGCGGACGGTTCCTCTCCGCCTCGCCAGGCCTCGATGCGTCGTCCTTTTTTCTCCTTCGGCCCCCGTCTTTGTCGTTGTGTGTATCCCCGCTCGTCGCTCTCCCTTTCTCGCTCTGTCTCTCGTTGACAGAGAGAACGCGAAAGACAGAAAGAGAGAATAAGGGAGGGAGGGAGGGAGGGAGGGGGAGAGAGAGAGAGAGAGAGAGAGAGAGAGAGAGAGAGAGAGAGAGAGAGAGAGTGAGAGAAGGAGAGAAGGAGAGAAGTAGTGGGGGAGGGAGAGTGGCAAAGCGGAGAGAACGAGCGAGCGAACGAAAATAAACCAAAGCGAACTCGTACTGCTCCATTTTTACGTGCACTTTATACAAGCGCGTCATTTTATCCCGGAGGATTGCTATTATTGTTGTTATTTGTCCCATGGTAAAATGCACCGCGTCTGTTTAATGAAAAGAGAGGAGAAGGAGGGAAAGTGAGAGAAAGCGAAAGAGAGAGAGAGAGAGAGAGAGAGAGAGAGAGAGAGAGAGAGAGAGAGAGAGAGAGAGAGAGGTGGGAGGGGGCAGACCAGAACTGTGTCTGGATACTCTCGCAACAAAGCCCGAACAAAAACAAAAGCGCCGACGATATGAACTCCATTGAAACTTTGACCTTCGACCTTCGCGTTAATGGCGGCAAAAGTTTCGCCGGCGATCGAGTAGCTATCCAATCGACAGCTACCCCAATGGTCCCACAGATCGCTTCACGCTTCCGAGAGCGTCCAGTTTTTGGAACTACCGTGTCTACCCGCGGCGGTCGCCGTTCTCACCTCGACGACGAGCCGCGACGACGCTCGCCATGTACTCGTCGTCTTCGAGTCGATCGATCGATCGGTCGGTCGAAGGCGAAGGTTTCCTCGCGCATGAAGGGTCCCGCGCGCGAAAGCTGATAGGCAGCGACCGAGTCCTGAACAATCCTCTCTCGTTTTCTGCACGCAGTCAACCGGCGTGATGCCGTTCTACGGAGACACCGGTGCTGGTTTCCGGCCGGCGGCTGGTTTCGGCAATACAGTCTGGCACCAGGGAGTCGGATCGGTCGGCGCGGTCGCGGTCGAAACGTCACCGGCTCCTTGGCCGCCGCAGCAATTCATTCAGCAGATTCCCGGGCCGAATCAGCTCGAAGAGCTGAGGTATCACACCCAGTACGGCGCTGCGACACCGTATCATCCTCAGCCAGGTAAGCGCGGAGATGATGACGGCAGCGGCGATGTGTGAGAAGAGGACATGACGCGTGCGAGAGAGAGAGTGAGAGAGAGAGAGAGAGAGAGAGAGAGAGAGAGAGAGAGAGAGCAGAGAGAGAGAGAGAGAGAGAGAGAAATGACGACGCATTCCGAGAGCTCGTTACGAGAGAACACGGAGATAAAAAGTACAAACAAGCGGAGTTTGTCTTTTGCGAAATCACGCCGCGCCTCGACGACCGAGTCCGCGATCTCTCGGAGCTGCTCGAAATCCGCGCGTCGCGCTCTCTGCCTCCTCCTTCTGTTTCCTCATCCCGCCGGCAAGCGTGTTAATTCGAACGACGTTGCAGTCTCGTATCAGCAGCAGACCTTCATAACGGCGGACCAGTCCGCGTTCCAGCGAGCCGGTACGACGGGACAGTACACCATCACGGGACAACCCTCGCCGCTGGCACCTGTCGGCGGGCAGACGGTGGTCTCGACGCCTCAGCGGCAAATGAACGGACAATTCGTGGACCCCGCGGCCACCGCTAATCAACCAGTTGCTTACGAGAGGCAGGACTATGTGAACGGCTACCAACAGCAAGTAAGAGCCGATTAAATCACCGGGGAACAGGTTCTGCTTGCCTGCACGCGCGCGCGTCCAGCCGTCGACAACACGACGACGACTCTCTCGTGTCTGTCCCCGTTTTGGTTTTATAGAATCGCGCTCACTCGCGCTCGCGCGGGAGATATATACGACGAAGATTTCAGTTTGAATGGCAGGAGAAAGCGTCCCGCGATCAGTTTCAACTGCCGATGTGTGACTGCAGCTAGGATTATCGCAGGATGGAATATTTAGTCAAACGTGTCAAGAATATCATAGAGAGAAAGAGAGAGGCAGATATCTGACATTCTCTTCTTAATGCGTCTTAAGTTGAGCGAGAGATCCTTTCTAAGACGTTGCTTTCGGCAGGATGTGACAGGCATGGCGCCGCCTCCGTCAACAACGCCGACGAGCCGCAGCAGCTCGGTGCATATGGACAGCCAGCAGCAGCAGCAACCAGGCGGCCCGCAACAGCCACCGCAACAGCAGCAACAGCAGCAGCAGCAGCAGCAGCAGCAACAAGCCGCTGCGGATACGCAAGTGAAGGGCTTCGCCGCAATTACGGCCGCGAATGTGTCGGGAAACGAGATGCCTGGGTATCCACTTCAACAGGACCCACAGAGTTTACACAACTCTAACGGATATCCAGGCTACGTGGAAATGGGTCAGCAACCAACGCAAAGCCAATGGCAAATGGTGTCGCAACAACAACAGCAGCAGCATCATCAGCAAGCGCAAATGCAACGGCAGCAAGTCGACAATAATCAACGGCACATGTGGCCGGACGCGAGCGGGAAGATGAGCAGTAGCGTCAATAGCAACATGAACTGGCAGGAGGGTGCGATGCAACAGCAGCAGAAACCTCCGCAACAACAGCAGCAACAGCAAAGTATGCAAAGCATGAAGCAGCAAGTGGAGCAGCAACAAGCTGCTCAGCTGCAACAGCAGCAGGAACTACCGAGACCGGCGAGTCACATGAGCTGGGAGACCGGGAGCGTGAAGGAACCCCATACGCCGCAGTCGTGGTCTGAGAACGCCGACAGTCAGCAGCAGCAAACTCAGGGAAACTGGTCGCGACAAAGCCCGAAGCTGAGAGACCCGCAGAACTCGCGCTTGACGCCGTCCGGCCAGCAACAGCCGCCTCAACATCAGAACTGGTTGCAGCACTCGCCGAAAGTGTCGGATCAGCATCAGCATAACAGTGGCGCCCAACAGAATCCGAGAATGACGCCTTCTGCTCAACGTTCTGCCTGGCAGCAGAACAGTCCGGAGGTACCGGGATCTCAGCAGAATCCCAGGCTGACGCCCTCCGGTCAGCAAATGCAGCAACAGCAACAGCAAACACAGCAGCAGCAGCAACAGCAGTGGCCGCAGCAGACCAAGGTGGAGCAGAACCCCAGACTCACACCGTCCAATCAAATGTCTTGGCCCGACACGCCGACTAGTCAACCGAATTGGTCACCGAATAGCATAAAGAGTGATAATAGTCAGCAGCCGCAGCAACAGTGGCAGGACTCGCAACCTAGTCCTAGACGGACTCCGGGCCACCAGTGGCAGGGTCAACTGACGCAAGACAACAAGCTGGACAATCGAATGTCCTGGTCGCCGAATTCAGTGTCGGAGGGTCAATCGGCCTGGGGCCAGCAGGCGACGAAACAGGACATGCAAAACTCAGGGGAAAGAATCGCGTGGCAGCAGCAGTCTGCGGTGGAGGTTAACAAGCCGAACGGTTTCCCGGAGAGTCAAGACAACGTTCCGGAGAATAACATGTATGCTCAAGCGAACCGAGTGAATCTCAACAGTCGACTGAAGTCGATGATTCTGAACAAACAACAGCAGCAGCAGCAGCAGCAGCAGCAGCAACAACAACAGCAACAACAGCAGCAGCAGCAGCAGCAGCAGCAGCAGCAGCAGCAGCAGCAGCAGCAGATGCAGCAACAACAGCAGCAGCAGCAAACCCACCAAGATCAACATCGTAACATGCATCATCAGATGCAGGCGCAACACGTCAGCAGTAATAACGGCGGCAACGCCGTGGAATATCCCACGGACGACCGGATACGCGACGCGCACGAAAACAACGAGAAGATGCAGGAGAAGCGCGCGGATCACTTCATCAATCAGTCGAACATCATGTCGATGGCGCAATCCAACGAAAACATGACCGGTAATTTTTTATCGCATAGCCACCACCCTCGGGTAGATAATTTGCCCGACGGTGGTGGCTTATGGGGATGGACGGCAGGAGAGCACAATCACAGTAACAAGAACGCTGACAACAGTGTGTTACCGGAGAACGGCATGGCAGCCTTCGAGAATTTCATGAAGCTCGCCGCGGAGAGCAAGAGCGATGTCGAGCGATGCTGCGACAAGGACAAAGATCAGTTGTCCTGGCAGACGCAGGAGGAGAAGAGCCACGACGATCACAACATCGACGACAAGTCCTTCCAACAACGACTGTGCATGGATCAGATTGAGGAAGTGTCCTTCGAGGAGTCCCAAAAAACGCCCGAGAGCGACGAGCTGAAGAGCGACAGTCTGGACTTCCTGAAGACCACGGACACGGCTGTGGGCGCGTCTTCGCAGGACATCGACAAGTGTAGCGACTCCGATCGCGTGATTAAGCGAGAAGGCATCACCTCAGACTATAACAGCGACGCGTCCACCCATGACGCCGCCAGTAACATCATCGCCGAGAACGAAGAAGAGAGTCAGAAGATCGTGCCGGATTACAAGTTCCGTGGCGACGGCGGTCCCGCGAAGGTATCGCCGGCAACCGGATCGTGGTGCTGCCGAAGAGGCGGCACCGAGCAGCCGACTCCCGAACACCTGAGAGACGGTTGTTGTCAGGGCCTTCAGACCAAGGACGAGATGCTGGCCGATTCCCCGCAGAGAGACGAGCTAAAGAGCGAGGGGGGTCCGCACAGTCCACGCACCCCGTCCACAGCGACGACCACGACGACAAAGTTGCAAGACCACTTGGACAAACTGAAGAACAATGTGAGGACCGAAGTGCCGAACTGCAACTGCTTCCCCGCCGACAAATGTGAGTTGCAATTGCGTATTCCGTACCACATTAACAGCGAGAGAACACACTAACCACGACAAGCACCCGACAGAAAAGTCGCAAACATACTAATAACGTGTATTATGCATATGGCCGATAAACAGCACCGAGCAATTGTGCGCCTTGAACACACGGAGGGGAATGTGTACCTCTAACCCACCCCTTTCCCCCTTTCGCAAGGACGTATCCACCGCACGCGCGGCATAAATGTTTCCGCTTCTGTTGCTTCCCCTTCGTTGACACGTCGCTCGCTCGCTCGTAAGTAAAATGAGCTTCCAACCACAAGGTCCACCTGAGCCCGGCTCATACTACACTCATCTCGGGGCGGCCGCGAGCCTGCCCGACCTAAGGAACGATCTCGAACGAAGAACCGGTCTTAAGGGCGACGCGATAAGATTTGAAAAGGTCATCTATACCGGCAAAGAAGGCAAGACCACGCAAGGGTGTCCGATGGCCAAGTGGGTAAGTGATCCTTCGCCCTTCAGGAAGACGATATTGCTGCTAATAGCGATTTAAGATCGCGTGAACCTCCAGAGCGGAGATTGTAACGTCGACAATCATGCTAGATCATCCGACGATCCGGCATCGACGAGAAGATCCTGACTATCGTGAAGCACCGTCAGGGTCACAAGTGTCCAACTGCCTGGATCGTCGTGGCTATGGTCGCCTGGGAAGGGGTACCGACACACGAGGCCGATCGGATCTACTCTCTTTTGTGTCACAAGCTCAATCGATTCGGTCTTCCCACGACCAGGCGATGCGGCACCAACGAACCGCGGACCTGCGCGTGCCAAGGTCTCGATCCGGACACCTGCGGCGCTAGCTTCTCCTTCGGTTGCTCCTGGTCGATGTATTACAACGGGTGCAAGTACGCCAGGAGTAAAACCGTGCGAAAGTTTCGACTGTCAGTACGATCGGAGGTGAGGAATCCTTGAAACAGCCAAAGGAAACTGCGCGAGAGTACACGCAAAATATAGACTTTAAAGAAAAAAAAAGAAAAAAAGAAAAATCGAAACAAGTCTTAGTCACACCACATGTAATTTACTCGAAGTAATTTACTCGAATAATTTAGTTGATGTGCAGTTTAGTTTACTAATTAAACACGTTTTGCATTAAAACTTGCTCAGAGTTGATAAACTAAAACTAGATATTAATTAAATTATTTTATATTTGAAACCTGTTTCCCAGGAGCAAGAAGTCGAGGAGCGAATGCACGTTTTAGCAACGCTCTTGTCACCTCTGTACCTCAGCCTCGCGCCGGAAGCTTTCAATAATCAGACTCAATTCGAGCGCGAGGCGAGCGAATGTCGTTTGGGTTTTAAGCCGGGCCGGCCGTTTTCCGGTGTCACTGCTTGCATTGATTTCTGCGCTCACTCTCATCGGGATCTACACAACATGAACAACGGATGTACCGTGGTATGTTGCACTGTCACGAAGTCACTGGAGTCTCCGCGACAATATGAAGAAGAGAGACGCGAGGCTAAATTTTTTAATGTTAAAGCGGCTTAATGAATATTACGGTAACGCCGGCTCTCTTAACACGCTTGTGTATGATCTTCAGGTAGTCAGTTTGACGAAACATCGAACACTATCGAAACCTGAAGACGAACAGCTACACGTGCTACCTCTTTACATAATGGACGACACAGACGAATTTGGTTCGAAAGAAGGGCAAGAGAAGAAGATTCGCTCCGGTGCCGTCGAAAACCTGTCCAAGTGAGTATTCTGTATGAATGAACGTCCCGAAATAACGGACACAAAGTCCGTTCAACTCAAACCTGCGCAGGTTTGATATCTGCACTCAATAATATGTGTGGCGTTCAATAATCCATGTGAGACGTGTTATATTCCCTCAGATATCCATGCGAAGTTCGAGTTCGATCAGTTCCGCTTCAACCCTGTAGACGTCATGGCAAGAAAAGAAAAGAGGACGAGCCTGATACCGTGAGCGGCAAAAAGGATGCGATGAAGATCATGTCCGACAAGATGTCGGATGCCGGACGCTCGCCAGGACACGTGGATTCTTCAAGACCGCAGTTGAGGGACTCTCAATTGTCAGTGGAGATGACACCCATGTTCGAAGGCATCGACGCTCAGCTGCAAAGTTCTCAGGTATCATCTACGGTCTTAGATAGTCCGGTATCCATGTATCAAGGATGGGGATACCAAGGTGAGCAACAGTGGAGTCGAAACGGTTGGCTCGAACAGCGAAAGAACAACTGGCTGAACCCATGGGGAGAGTATTCGCCTTTCGGTGGCTTGGAAAGAGACGTCAAAGTGGATCCCGACAGCACCAGCTTGGACGACATCAGACCCCGAAGCACCGTCTCACAGGAAGAGTACAGACCGGGCTCGCGAAACTTACCCAACTCCACGGTAGACTCGGTCAGAGGGTGCTACGGAAATTCACCAAGAGCCCATCCGATCTCACCTCGTTCGCACTCGACTATATCGGGGGAAGCGCCGTCCTACGGCGGCGTCCCATCCAGAGGCTGCCTGTCGACGTTCCAAGATTCAAAGACAATCTCATCCAAGGGACCGGAACATCCAAACTCGGCGGAAATCGGCTACAATCCCCATATGACGCCTGGAGCTTATTCCATTCACGATAGCCGGCAAAACAACTGCTCGCCGAGATTCGTCAACTCGTCGTCGCTGGGCATGGAGGCGACACATCGAAATACTCCATCCAGGATGAACCCATCACCGGTCGCCACTCATCATGTTCGCAACGTCGGACAGGATTACGTGGCGAATCAGTTGAGGTTGTCGTCGCCGAGATATACGGGAGATTCTAGTCAGCAGAGGTATTCTGACAGCATGGCGCAGAATTACATGGACGCGGAGAATTCGACGAAATTAGCACTACTGAGACCACAGATCGAGCAAACGTTCACCAACAGAACACCGCAGCACCCCTATCCACCGCAACAAATGCAGTCACCCATCAATCCCGTCTACCAAAACCAATACGCTGACGCTAACGCGGCGAATCTGTTCTCTTGCATGGATAATAATCCCAATCATAAGTCATTGGAGACTGCAAACTCGGACGTTTTGGTGCACAGCTCGCTGCACTTGCCACCGTTCGAACAGCGGAACGACGCGCAATACCCGTTGCTGCCGAACGAGCAGCGAAAGTCCGTTTATCACCACCACGCGCAAAGACAATCGGAAACAAAGCCCTTCGTGGTCAATCACCCTCCATCTCCGTCTTCCGATCAAGTTCCGCGAAACTGGAACACGATGAACTCGTGGTGTTCATCGTCTAATCAGATGAAGAGTCCACAGCGACCAAACGATCAACAAATGGCCGACAAGAAGATCTGGACTGGGAAACTAGCGAGGTCGGACCAGAACAAATCCTGGGAAACACCGTCCGAGCCGTCTCCTTTCCGGGTGCCAAGGGGAAGACCGCCCTCGCGAACGATATCCAATCAAAATTCACCGGCGGAGTCCAACGCGTATCCGAATCCATTGACCAGAACTTTTCTAAAGCCAGCCGAGCCCACGAAACCCGCCATGTACGCAGACTCATTGAGCGGTGGAGTCGTTCAAAATGGCTGCATGCCCAATCAGCTGAAGAGCAGCTGCTCAGAGGACAAATTGCGAGATGGATTCTACGACGGCAGACAAGAGATGTCAAATCCCAACCCAAATTCTCTCGCGTGGGCAGAGGAGATGAAACAAGTGCAAGACTTCCACGCGATGTCCGGTCTGGGCCACCATGCGTTCCCGCAATACGGCTACCCGACCTATCCGGTATTTGAGAAACCTTACGCGAACTCGTGGGAGAGTTACAATTATGGTCATCATCAGTCTTATCAGACACCGGAATATCCGCAGCAATTTTATCAGCAACCGAAACGCGAAGGTTGCTTCCATTCGCCTCAATATCCGTACCAAGGTTTGAATCCCGCCGGTTGGACCAGGTGGGACACACCGCGATGGGACATTTACGGCCCGCCACCGCCATATTTCCCGGTTCTGCCGGAGCCTCCGCCGAAAGCGGAGCCGCTCGGTGAGGTGGCGGATTACTCCGACAACGAAGAGTGCTTCAAGGATCCGCAAATGGGTGGCGTCGCGATCGCCTTGGGCCATGGTAGCGTGCTATTCGAGTGCGCCAAGCACGAGATGCACGCGACCACGGCCCTGAGGAAGCCCAATCGTCTGAATCCAACCAGAATCAGTCTAGTGTTCTACCAGCACCGCAATCTAAACAGGCCCAGACACGGCTGGGACGAGTGGGAGGAGAAGATGCGGCTGCGAAAGTTGGGCCTCACTACGTCAACCAGCGGCAACAGCAGCAGCAGCAACAGTGGTGGCAACAGTGCATCCTCTTCGTCGACGTCCAACAACCCGTCGACTCCGACCATCGCGACGAGCCCAGGCAGCACCACGAACGACAAGACGCCGCCGCTTCCGTCGTTACCGCACATTCCGAATGTCCCCAATTCGCAGTTCATGATGAGATCACCCACCTACACCACGATGACCTGGACGACGCTTTTCCGGATGCATCCCTGCATCATAACTGGCCCGTATCAAGAAGGCGGTGCGATCGGATGAGTCGAGGTCGCCAGGTACGGCTTCGAGCGCCGATGACTACCGGAGCTAGCGACCACCAGCGGGGGACACCGTCATCATCATCATCACCATCGTCATCAGCACTAAGAGGATCCCAGGCGAGATATGCGAGGTATCGAAGTAGAATCGCGCGACGTCTTTCGAGACGGATCTTTCGACGGACGAACGTGGCGGCGTTGAACCACGAGAGGCTTTATATCGTTATTATCGTTATAGTTAGTTACTCCGAAGGAAAAAAGAACAACAAACACACACTTTGCACTGCCATTTTTTCTATTTCGGGTTTTACGCAAGATTTTGAAACATAGCGACGAGAGATACGTGCTCGACGAGAAGCCACGCCAGGATACGTGATCCAATCACACAAACCGTCTGTCGGGGCTCGCGTTTTATATTGACTTTTTACTAAGCTGAACTCGCGAGAGTAGGCTCCCGCGATCGAGCCGAGAAGGCTACGAAAAGATCAAGACGAGATCGCAGATGACCGAGGCTATCGACGTGTAACAGGCAAGAAAAGGGAAAAAGACGAAAAAGGAAGAAAGAGCGCCGATGACCGGCTGCCCCTTGCGAAGACTTTGATACGATAGATTTTCGTATTCTGACTCTGTACACATTAAGTAATATCGCATAACGATTTCGTGTTGGTAGAATCGTAATCTTATTAGCTAGTCGAGAAGTCTAGATGATGAATCACGCGACACATCACACGTACACATAGAGCACACATTAAGCGTACATGCACACTCCGAAACATCCAAGGAACCTGCACGATATATGTATGGTCTCGGAATTATCGCACTTTTTCGAGAGGCGATGCGAGAGAGAGAGAGGGGGGGGGGAAGAGGAAAGAGAGGGAGGAGGGTACAAACTGAATATGAACGACCGCGTTTATTTTCGAAGACATTGTATAAAAAGTCGTATGAAAAATTTTTTAAATTATATATATGTTATATATATACATATATATAACACACACACACACATATATATATTATATATTATTATATATACTGGGTGTATAAAAGAAGCCCGGGGCTTCTGAATATCCCAGACGGGTTACGTTTTAGAAAAAAAATATTAAATATGAATATTGTAGGATTTCAAGAGGTCTATCTATTAGTCTTATCAGTTTGACCTTGAGTGACGTTGCGAAAGTCAGGTTAAGGTCAACTTAATTTTTTTAAACGGAAACCCGTTTAACATTTTTTTCTAAAATGTAACCCCTCTCAGATATTCAAGGGTCCCGGGACTTTTTATATATCCTGTATATATATACAAAATTATATATATATATATATATAGTTATATATATATGTACAAAATAATACCGAGAAATCTTATTATATACATATTATATATATATGCATATATGTATTTCACTACCAGAAAAGTGCTGCTGGCATTTTTTTAAACGTTGCAATGACGCTCACGAGCGCCAACGACCACGATTTTTCGAGTCTTCTCGGTGTCTCTCGAGATGCCCGCAAAAAGGGAGAAGCGTGATAATTCCGAGAGCGGTCCTTTTTCGTATTCGTTAGTCGAGCGGCTAATTCTTCGCGACGGTCCAAGCACAATCCTGAAGATCCGGACGACGATATATACACACACGATAATGATCTCAAGTCTTTAAATTAATTAAAGAATATGTAATGTATATCTGATTTCTAGCCTTTGTACATTTCGCTTCTTATTCTCGTATTTATTTACTCGTGTTTGTACTCGTAGCTAAGTACTAAGTACGGATTAATTCAAGTGGCACGCCAAGTGTGACTAACTAACCATGCGCCCTCTTCGGGTCGGCTGAGTACAAAGCATTTATCTAACAATATCACGTGACACGTAGGTAGTAGGGGTGTAATCCATTATTGGTCGGCGATGTAACGCCAGGTAATGCCAGGTGTTGTCTTCACCATTGTCATCATCATCATCATCATCATCATCATCATCGTCATTATCGTCACCACCATCATTACCGTCATCATCATTATTATCATCATCATCGTTATTATCACGATCATCAGTTTGACGCTCTTCCCTGTTGCTTTTCTCCATCTGGTTTTCAGCCCTTTCCACTTTCCGAGAACCGGCAATCGCAGTGCTAGTGGCACGGAGTTGCTGACTACCCAGGAAGCGATCTGTCAGCAGTCTGCCGGCAGATTGATGGCGGCGGACTCGATCGGAATCTGGCGACCGATCGTCCGCGTCCGCATCCGACTCCGCGTTCTGTCGACAGTGCCTGCGTTGACGGCGGGAAATGAGAGTAGATCTACAGTACGTTCTCCATTTTAATATGTTTAAACGTTTGTCGGAGCGACCGGTCCTGCTCGGTCAGTTTCTGCCGTCGATCCGCCATCGTGCTCTGCCAGCAGACTCTGCTTGCATCTCTGCTGGCAAACTGCTGACGGGATTTGCAGTAGACGCTGTACGAGATCTGCTCCTGCGGGTTTGCTAGCTACCTGGGTAGCTAGCTGTGACGGAAATTCGGCGGAACACGATAAAAATTCGCGCGGTCGACGCGCGCAAGCGCGCCGATGTGAGCACGCACCAGGTTGGTGATCACGAGCACCAATCTTCATAGGGTTCAAAGGATTAATTACTTTCCAATTGTGGGCGATGACATTTGCGTCTGACGTCTCATCAAGAGATGAGAGAGAGAGAGAGAGAGAGAGAGAGAGAGAGAGAGAGAGAGAGAGGGAGGAATGAAGATGATTGAAAACCGTGCGATCGCTTCGATACGACACAACAAAAGGGAGAGAGACTCGATTCTCCGAGATTAGATGCGTCATTATTGAATCAGCAGAAACGGAAAGGTTCGATGATATCCGTGAGCGTAGTCATTATATCTTCATTGTATCTCCTCTATTGTCCTATATTTTATTCTTACATATTGTTGGATGTTGTTGTTTATTCCAAGCCTGTGTGTCACTCTTTTCCGTTCTCTTCGAGACGACAGCTCGACGAAGAAAGAAATAGGAAAAGGGGGGAAAGGGGGAGGGGGGGTGGGAAAGTCGGACAAACACGAAGTCAATATCGATAGTCGGGAAGGTCTCCCCCGCTTAACTTTTCGTCCACTATATTCACTTTTTAGCGTGAAACTGCGACGCGTTTGTTTCGTAAACAGCAGGAAATTTCGACTCGTTATCTCTGACGAGATGAGAAAGAATTTTATCGCGGTGGGTATTTTTTTTTTCAATTTGCCAGTCGAGTCTTTACTTTTTTGTTCTTCTTCTTCCTCTTCTTCTTCTTCTTCTTCTTCTTCTTCTTCTTCTTCTTCTTCTTCTTCTTCTTCTTCTTCTTCTTCTTCTTCTTCTTCTCCTTCTTCTTCTTCTATTTTTCCTCTTCTTCTTTTTATTTGTTTTATTTTGTTTCGCCTTTGTCCTTCTTCGGAGGCTTCTTTGCGTTTTTGCGTGCGCAAATCGCTGGTATGAGAAAAGAAAGAAGCAAGACCAACCCTCGCCTACTGAAGTATGATAGGATTCATTAATATATTATCATTCATTAGTTATCGCATATAATAGTAATAGTGATAATAATAATAATAATAATAATAATGATAATGATAAATAACAAAAATCATAATAAGTAGTGAGGTAATCTAATTTAATGTATTAATTTATTAATTAAGTTTTGGCTCTTCCTGAATAACATCAATTTGGCGGCAAGTTGGCGGCTCGAGGTCGAACTTTCGATTGAAGGTTGTCCAGGCTTCCCGTGCTCTATACGCTCGATTCGATCGCGGTGCATGTATGTGTACGTATCACCCGTTCGGGCACGCGAGAGAGAGAGAGAGAGAGAGAGAGAGAGAGAGAGGGAGGGAGGGAAGGAGGAAAAGAGAGAGAGAGAGAGAGAGAGAGAGAGAGAGAGAGAGAGAGAGAGAGAGAGAGGGAGGAGAGAAGAGAATTCTTCACAACACGCGCGCGCTGCTGTGTGCATTGATTTCGTTCGTGTAACGGCCTCGCCGCAGCTATCTCAGCAACAACGAGAGGAAGATAGAAAAATGTCAATCGAGAGTGTGTCTCCTTTTTCTTTTTTCTCTTTTTATTTTTCTTAAACCGTCGTATGCTTTCCGGATGTATTCCTGCGGATACTCGTGGGGGGACATACCAGTCTCGCGAAGTGAGAACCCATTCTACGAGTTCACTTGCCTCTTATGAATCTGCATCTCTAAGGTCATTCGCGTGCCGGGAGAAATGGCGCGAGACGGACGCACGGGAAGATCGCGATACGTTTTACATCGAATTCGGATTGATCCCCTGATCGATTCAAAATATATATACAGGATCCGCCACTTAAATCCGGACATGAAAATATTTCCTCGAAAAGATGTTTACTAGAAAAAGAGTTTTTTCACTCATTGTAGCCGCCCTGCGCCTCGATCCTGATTCGAAAGCACGCCGTCTGCAATTGCACCCGGTCCTTTTTCGTGAATTCCGCTTCAATAGCGGCCCGGAGGGAGGCCACGATGGGATATCTGGCTTTGTTAGTAACCCTCTCAACTATATTCCACACATAGTAGTGAAGAGAGTTCGGTTCGAGACTGTTAGGAAGCCAGAAACCCTTCGACCAAAACAAACGAGCAAGTTGCAGCGGGTAAATCTCTTGGCGGCTTCGAAGAGCATCTGTCGGACTTTGAGGACGCAGGACTTGTATGTGAAGTCCTCTTGACGATCCGATGAACGGTGATACCGCTCGTCCCCAAGATGGCCACCAGTTTTGTGAGTGAGTTCCTTGACTCTTTTGAAATGAAATCTTGTACTTTTCGGTTGAGTTTCGGGGTCTGTGTCGTCTTCTCTCTTACCCCAGTCGGAACCACAATGTTGATTCAACGTCGATGAGGGGTTAAATTAACGTTGATTCAATAGTTATTCCCAGACCATTTCAACGTCAATCAACGTTATGGTTCTGACTGAGTCAGTGTATCTTCCTCGCCGGAGCCCACTTCGGACTCCGTCTGAGGCCGCATACCTCTGGACAATGTCATACACCGTCGACCTGGGATATCCGAGGAACTTGATAATTTGGCGTCCTTCCGGCGCGAACATCTTCAATAACCACCGCTCTTCGGTTATATTCCGACGTCGACCTGCACGACTCGGTCATTTCGAGGTTTAACGTCTTACCCACGTCTCTGGCCTACCTTCACGCTATCTGACACCTACTGCTGCACTCTAACATAGCGGGAATTTCAAATTTAAATTTGTCCGAATTTAAGTGGCGGATCCTGTACATATCTGTCCGTGTCTGTTCCCAACTAAGTTCGCTGTTACTTCTTCTGCTCCTACATTTTCTTCTTCTTCTTCCGCTTCTGCTTCTGCTTCTCCTTTACGCAATGGATATATGCGTACGAGTTTACGGGAAAGCAAAGCGGGACTATTTCGACCGCGAAATTCGTTTCTTTCGCTTCGTATCCACGCGTACACACGTACGCACCGCGACTCACTGATCCATTCTCTAGATAAGGCAGCTTTCAGACGGCAATGAGAGTACAATTATAGGATAAACATCGGCCCGATGGCTTTTTTACATAGAGACAGCAAGAATTAATTGCCTCCTCCTCCTCGTGTATTCCGCTATAAAGTGACAATACAATAAGCGAACGGGATACGCTTTGTATCGGGGCTTCGATGAAAATCAGGACACGCGTCGCTCTCGTACAATCCTCGGATTTAACGGGTGTCGCGAATATCGTGTTCTTACGTGCTCTTCTTCGCGATGAGGATCGAGTCGGATTTTGCGACTCCTCACTCTCCTTATCACTCATTTCCCAAGCATGACAAGGACTTAAGCACAAGCACGCGAGCGTAAGCGCTTTCGCGATACCCGGTGCATTCTAAAACGCGAAGGGAAATCAAAATTCCATATCGACTTCCGGGAATACACTTGTCGTTAGCCACATAATGCACCCTAAGCGCCGTTGTACGACGATATTGACGACTACTTCCAACTACTTGTCTGCAGGTACACCGAAGAAGATCGTTGTCCTTGCTGAAAACTTTTTTATAATGCGGAAACTCGGAATTACAGTTCGACGATGCCAAAATAGGATTAAATAATTAGGAGAAATGTTTGTAATACATAATAGCTGTGTGTAACGTACGGGGGAAAAAAAAAGAGACGAAGGCGCAAGACGGGGCAAGAGGACTAGATGCGGATCATCGGGCGATAAGCTTCGGATCGTAACTTTTATTTCGTGCGATTCACAGCGGCCATCTCTCAGTCGGGGTTTCTTTATCGATGTAGACTAGTAATCTTGCTTCCAGCAGAATTGTTTGAAAAATTCCAAGTGCAAGAGATCGCGTAGAGATCTCAGCAGTATCGAAGCTTCAACTATGTGTCCGCTGTTCCCACTATGATGTCATCATCGCGCAATCGATGATCATAAAACGGCTTTAAATCAAATTATGCAAGATCGTTCTCGAGATTCTTTTCTTTCACAATTGTCGAAAGCTTGTAGATTTTTTTCACGGCACATTCATGGCGCGTCTCTCTTTGAAGTAAACCACAGAGAGGATACGTCTCTTCACACGCTGCTCCAAAGCTAGTTCGCTTACCCTGCAGAATTTCACGTACAGAGTGACACGCAACAGCAGCATGACGGTTGCGTGGATTCCTGTGCGCGAAGAAAGGAAATTTCGGAAATCTAATTACAACACAGAGATTAATTAGCGAAAAAGAGGAGGGGTTACAATCGGAGATAGAGAGCGACGGCGAATTAAGAAAGAAATAAACGTTGAAGAGTGTATTTTTTCTTCCAATGCCAAAAAGATGCCATTTTGTTTTATACGAAAAAACCAGCGAGAAAATCCAGAAAAAAAGAAAGAATGAGAGAGAGAGAGAGAGAGAGAGAGAGAGAGAGAGAGAGAGAGAGAGAGAGAGAGAGAGAGATATGACGAAGAGGCGAGCGAAGGAGAACGTGCGTAATAATAAAGGAAAGTGCGAGAACAAATTTTTTAAATAGTTTGTAGCAAGCGTATGGATGTGTATAACGATAAACAAACAAGCAACAAAGCAAAAGGAAAAAAAAAAGAGGAAGCAGAACGAGAGTCGATGTATATGTCCCGCGAAATCGAGACTTACACACATTACCTTACCATCAAGAACGATCGACGGCAGGTAGACGAACGAGGTAGATGAGCGAGATGTTGCATCGTTCGAGATCGCGAGATATAGATTTATTAATAACGGATGGAACGGGCGGGATAGCGCCGTCCATCTTGAATATCTTAAGGATCCGAGGGCTGCACCAACATCGATTGACAAGACATTGAACAATGTGGAATAATCCGCGGAGGTTTGATTTATAAAGAGAGAGAGAGAGAGAGAGAGAGAGAGAGAGAGAGAGAGAGAGAGAGAGAGAGAGAGAGAGAGAGAGAAAGAGAGAGAGAGAGAGAGAGAGAGAGAGAGAGAAATTATTATAGATATATTGTCGCTTTTTATCGGTAAAGAACGAAGCGATTCGTGTGTGTATATATATATACGCACATGTATGCGTATACATGTACGCACAAAGTCGCTTGGGACCGCGCGAGTCGTTGGTGCAACTCCGAGAAAATCTCTGGATCCGCATGTGTATGTGTAAGGATGTAGCGTTACGTATACACCGACCACATATGTGTACATATATTTTTGGATAAAGCCATGAGAAAATTTTAAAGTCGAAATTCGGGCGAGGACGCGCGAGAACGTGATCATCTCTCGGCGCATCTGCGGCTTCTCGCGGGATTAGCGAGGCTCCTGTTCTTCCTGTTGGATGAGAGAGCGATGTGAGAGAGTGAGATCGAGTGAAAGAAACGAGAGAATGAACGAACGAGAGAATGATGGGATGAAAGAGAAAATTGATCGGTCGAGAGAGCTTTCGCGTACGTCGCTCCCCAGATGTATTTATGAATTATTTATTTACGCGAAGAGTGGAAGAAAATTTAATATATTGACGATTAAAAGAATGGTCATAAGTTATAAGTGTAAGTTTTCTAAGAGCCATTACATTGTAAAGCATTCTTTGGCATACGTCGATAAAAAAAACGATCGGTTGGAGCCGCGACGCAAGTCGCAACGGTGGTCAAGAATAGAGAGGAGAGACAAGCGAAAGCAATGGAAAAGGAAAAAAAAAAACTCCGATTGCGCGGCGAATGAGAGCGTTTTTCGGGTTAAACAATAAATTTCGTTCAAGACGCGCAGATGGACATCCACGCTTTGTGGATCGTGTCCACTTAAGAACTCAAATAAGAAATTAAATGAATTAGAGTAATGCTAGCGAGTACGATATGTAAGAAGTAATGAAGTTCTAACAAATAACTGGTATTAGCTATCGATGACTATTGTCGACGTAAGACACATACATTTAGACAAAGATATGTAAGTAAGTCAGATGTAATTGTCCTTTGTGAATATACATAAGAGAGAAATGAAAAATACAAAAAACTTTTATGAGTACAGCTGTTTTCTCATTCTTTTTATTTATTCGTACCTGCGATCGATAATGACTCTATCTTTATAATTATTGCACATAATAATTGCACATTCGCTGTTGCAAACAACTTTAAGTGGCAAGTAACTGATATATAAAAATCTATTCTCCAATGCCATACGTTCTCATTACAGTCAGCTCGCTTGTTGAAATATTTATTTCTTTTCTGTTCTTTCTACAGATAACAAAGGTGAATGCGAGCGCTTCACATGCAAATCCTCGTCTTCCTTTTTCAATTCTAATATCACATGCCTAATAGCGGATATCCAGGTACGACAGATGGTTGCATGCTGCATCATAAGATTAATGTGAATCTGGTCGGCTTGTTGGACATCTCTCCTTAATAATGCTATAAACATATGTATTTATTATAACAAGTTTGCAAGAATAACACATGGATCTAAGAATTACTGCTCATTACCTTTTGACACATCCAGCACACTTTTTTGTATTGTATCATTCAACTTATCTTCTAACCAATCAGACTTCATGATATCCAGTCTCTTTTGTATCTCCTCTAACTTATTCTTCTCCATCTTTTGCTCATTCATCACAGATTCTAAATTGGCCATAACTTCTGTCAAAGCTTGATTTTTATCAAAATCAGACTCTAGTGGTTTTGTCATAATATCCTTACTGTTGGGAGTTACGAGGGGCTTATGCAGAGCTGTCTTCAGGGAAGACAGTAAAATAGGAGGCATGTTAGATGGAAGTGAGGGACTAGTTTTCTCTGAAGTGGAGGTTTGTGAAGACAATGGAAATGCCACTCGCTTGTTCAATAATCTCTTACTGGACGTCCCATCGGAAGAACCACGTTGCGAAGACATCGCCCATTCTGGAGGATCATTCCATCCGGAATCGTAAGACGATGGTAACGATTTCTGGCTGGAAACCGTTTCGATTGCAGGTGGAGGAATCTGTTCCATGTCCACGCTTATAGGTTAAGTATGATTCGACTGAAAGACTGGACGCAAGGTCGACTAAACTAATGAAAAATCAAACTTCAAACTAAATCACAGTTCAATCGTCAGTGAGTGGTGTCACCGATGAATGTCCTCGATATCAGTCATCTTGGAATTCACGGCATCTTTCTTCTTGAATATTGAGACAATGTTCAATCTAATGACAAATTATTCAGGATTAATTACGTAGGAATCCTCGTGAAACAATTTTAGATCTATTTCAGACCTACTTTAGACTTAAGTTAGATGTCCGATAATATTGCTAATTGAAGTCATTTGACTGTCACTAATGTCATTTTAAATACCCCCTAGTGTTCATAAACAAAACAATTCCTTCCTTCCTTCCTTCCTTCAATAGATGGCTCTGGGCCTGTGGGAGTAAAGCCCCTTGTACAATGCCAGGCAACAGGCAATAAGAATAAAAATAGACCAATCACAATAGATTATTCTTGTAATAGTCGATTGTGATTGGTTTATTTTTATTCTTATTGCTTGTTGCCTGGCATTATGCAAGGGGCCTAAGCCCGTATGCCATTCTTCAAACAAAACAATTTAAATTGGTTTAAACCACAGACATATGGATCTGTCCTTTTTTTCTGCATCGCTGCACTGGTGCAGTAAGTTAAAGTGAGACAAATATATACTTGTCTCACTCGAACTTATTGCACTAGTGCAGCGGTGCAGAGAAAAAGAACAGACCTATGGGCTGCGTTCCGAAATTTACTACCAGTTCTGAAAATACATAGTTTGTGTCACGTATACTATAGAATTTCAGTGCTGGCAGTGAATCTCGGAATCGGAACGCAGTTCTAGATTGCGCGTTCACCCCACAGACTTCTATATAATACCACAGAGGAGAATACGTGAGAGCGGCCAACACGGTGTTTTCGACGACACCGACTTTCCGCACTGGGAAAGGGCGCCATCTGCATCCATTTTGAGAGGAGAACTACGATTCTACATCTACTTTCAGGTTTCGGCGGTAAAACCTGTATGTGGTGGCAGTCCGTGCTACATCCATTTTTAGGCAGTTTATGTCCGTGCTACAATCATAATAGCGTACTTGACAAACACGGTCTCGCACATTGTTACGCATTTATAACATGAATTAACATGTTAACATGTGCAAAAAAAAAAAATTGACATTGTGTATTAATATCACGAAGATCACACGAAGTGTCTGGTAATTAGCTGCCAACCCGAAATGTGAGGGTAGATTGGGTTCAGACAAACATAAAAGTCCCATATCATTTTGCGAGATTCGCAATAATTATCGAGTTATTAATGACAGAAGTCTGAGGAGTAAAAGCGCGCCGACATAGATGATTCGAAAAGCGTTGCAGCTGCTCGGGGCAGCGATCATGAATCTTTTCCCTAGCGTGAACTAATAAAAAGTGAAAGACTTCTGTGAATTAGTGAAAAATGAAAAATTTTATATGAATTTGTGAAAATCGAAACATTTCATACGACAATTGAGTCGTTCAACATGGCAGTTGCACGTTCTGGATAATTCAATGAATACTAAAGAAATCAAAATGATCAAGATAATGTTCGTGTAGTCCGAAGGATATTACGTGACACGCAAAATCCGTTTGATATAATATCCAAAGAAAATGTTTCAAAATATGTATGTACAGGTAATATAAACCTTATGCACCGACGAGATATACTACAAAGACTGATGGCCTTACGGGATTTAGCGTACCAGAGAAATTTCCCTGATGAGGCACCCGGGCGAAAGAGACCGTCTCGCATTTAATAAAATTTAATGGGAACTAATACTTTTCAATCCTTTTCTTCGGATCAGAAAGATTCAGAATTCAGACATATTCAAAATGTCAATACTTTTTAATACGTTTCAATTCGACATTTTATACAGGGAAGCAGGACGAAGGGAATGGGATGCAGGCAACGATACATCATGCGTCTACAGACATGTCAAATCGTTTATTATTGAGGAGATTTTGATACGGTAACATGTATTCGAATATTTAATCGTCCTATGGACCATTCATATATAATAAAAAAAAAATTAACGCAGATAAATGAACGATTCGTATCAAATTTCCTTTTCTTATAGAACAATGAAAGAGTAAACAGTATCGAAAATCGAATACCAATTAATACCATAAATCAGTGTCAGAAAATTGTCCAATGACAATTTGTCCTCATTTTTCAGGTAGTTACCGCTGTCATTTACATAACAAATTAACTGGGTTAAACGAACGATTCGTACCAATTTTTCTTCTCTTATAAAGAAATGAGAGAATAAATCAGTACCGAAAATCGAAGGCCGATCAATATCTAATTTATTAATCAAATTAACGCGGAATGGACGATTCGTATTAATTTTCTGTTTTCTTATAGAGAAATGAAAGAGTAAATCAGTACCGAAAATCGAATATCGATTAATATCATAAATCAGTGTCAAAAAATTGCACACGTGCAATGACAATTTGTTCTTATTTTTCAGGTACATACCCCTCTAATCTTATTCAACAAATTATTTCAGATAAACGAACGATTCGTATCAATTTTTCTTGTCTTATAAAAAAATGAGAAAATAAATCAGTACCGAAAATCGAAGACCGTTCAATATCTAATTTTTTCATCAAATGAACGCGGATAAATGAAAAATTCGTCTGAATTTTTTCTTTTCTTATAGAAAAATGAAAGGAGAAATCAGTACCGAAAATCGAATACCGATCAATATCGAATTTATTCATCAAATTAACGTGGATAAACAAACCATTTGTATCAATCTTTTTTTCCTTTATAGAGAAATCAAAGACTAAATCAGTACCGAAATCCGGATATTGATTAATACTATAAATCAGCGTTAGAAAATTGTCTAAGTGTAATGACAAGTTGTTTTCATCTTGCAGGTACTTACCCCACTAATTTACTCAACAAATTAAGTCGGATAAAAGAACGATTCGTATCAATATTTATTCCCTTATAAAGAAATTAGAGAATTAGTCACTACTGAAAATTGAAGACCGATCAATATTTAATTTATTCATCAAATTAACGCGGATAAATGAACGATTCGTATGAATTTTTTTTTCTTATTGAGAAGTGAAAGAGTAAATCAGTACCAAAAATTGAATATCGATTAATACCATAAATCAGTGTCAAAAAATTGTCCAAGTGCAGTGACAATTTGTTTTCATTTTCCAGGTATTTATTCCTCTAATTTATTCAACAAATTAACTCGAATAAACGGATGATTCGTATCAATTTTTCTTGTCTTATAAAGAAATGAGAGAATAAATCAGTACCGAAAATTGAAGACCGATCAATATTTAATTTATTCATCAAAATTGCGCGGATAAATGAACGATTCGTATGAATTTTTTTTTTATAGAAAAATGAAAGAGTAAATCAGTACCGAAAATCGAATATCGATTAATACCATAAATCAGTGTCAGAAAATTGTCCAAGTGCAGTGACAATTTGTTTTCATTTTCCAGGTACTTACCCATCTAATCTTATTCAACAAATTAACTTGGATAAACGAACGATTCTTATCAAGTTTTTTGTCTTTTAAAAAAATGAGAAAATAAATCAATACCGAAAACCGAATATCGATTAATACCATAAATCAGTGTCAGAAAATTGTCCAAGTGCAATGACAATATGTTCTCATTTTTCAGGTACTTACCCCACTAATTTACTCAACAAATTAACTCGGTTAAACGAACGATCCGTATCAACTTTTCTTTTCTTATAAAGAAATGACAGAATAAATCAGTACCGAAAACCGAAGACCGATCAATACCTAATTTTTTCATCAAATTAACGCGGATAAGTGAACGATTCGTATTAATTTTCTGTTTTCTTATAGAGAAACGAAAGAGTAAATCAGTACTGAAAATCGAATATCGATTAATACCATAAATCAGTGTCAAAAAATTGCCCACGTGCAATGACAATTTGTTCTTATTTTTCAGGTACTTACCCCTCTAATCTTAGTTAACAAATTAATTCGGATAAACGAACGATTCGTATCAATTTTTTTTGTTTTATAAAGAAATGAGAAAATAAATCAGTACCGAAAACCGAAGACTGATCAATACCATAAATCAATGTCAAGAAAATTGTCCAAGTGCAATGACAAATTGTTTTCATCTTGTAGGTACTTACCCCACTAATTTACTCAACAAATTAAGTCGGATAAAAGAACGATTTGTATTCAATTTTTATTCTGTTATAAAGAAATTAAAGAATCAGTCAGTACCGAAAATTGAAGACCGATCAATATTTAATTAATTCATCAAATTAACGCGGATAAATGAACGATTCGTATGAATTTTTTTTTCTTATTAAGAAGTGAAAGAGTAAATCAGTACCAAAAATTGAATATCGATTAATACCATAAATCAGTGTCAAAAAATTGCCCAAGTGCAATGACAATTTGTTCTCATTTTTCAGGTACTTACTCCTCTAATTTTATTCAATAAATTAACTCGGATAAACGAACGATCCGTAACAATTTTTATTGTCTTATAAAACAATGAGAAAATAAATCAGTATCGAAAATCGAAAACCGTTCAATATCTAATTTTTTCATCAAATTAACGCGGATAAATGAACAATTTGTATCAATCTTTTTTTCTCTTATAGAGAAATCAAAGACTAAATCAGTATCGAAAACCGGATATTGATTAATACTATAAATCAGCGTTAGAAAATTGTCTAAGTGCAATGACAAGTTGTTTTCATCTTGCAGGTACTTACCCTACTAATTTACTCAACAAATTAAGTCGGATAAAAGAACGATTCGTATCAATTTTTATTCTGTTATAAAGAAATTAGAGAATCAGTCAGTACCGAAAATTGAAGACCCATCAATATTTAATTTATTCATCAAATTAACGCGGATAAATGAACGATTCGTATGAATTTTTTCTTCTTATAGAGAAATGAAAGAGTAAATCAGTACCGAAAATCGAATATCGATCAATACCGTAAATCAGTGTCAGAAAATTGTCCAAGTACAATGACAATTTGTTCTCATTTTTCAGGTATTTATCCCTCTAATTTACTCAACAAATTAACTCGAATAAACGAATGATTCGTATCAATTTTGCTTGTCTTATAAAGAAATGAGAGAATAAATCAGTACCGAAAATTGAAGACCGATCAATATTTAATTTATTCGTCAAATTAACGCGGACAAATGAACGAGTCGTGTCAATTTTTTTTCTTGTAGAGAAATAAAAGAGTAAATTAGTACCGAAAATCGAATGTCGATCAATATCAGAAATTAGTGTCAGAAGATTGTCTAAGTGCAATGACAATTCGTTCTCATTTTTCAGGTACTTACCC